CAAAATCATTGTCACAAAGAAAAACATCGCGGAATCTCAAATCATGAAACTATTAATGTGTGTGTATAATCATGTCTTTGACTTCCCATCGAACAAAATTTGAACCAAGGGAAAGGGCTTCTATATTTCTTGGTTATCTACAGTGTATGAAAACATATAAACTTCTTGATTTAGAAAAAGACACATATTCACTTCTCGTGATGTTGTTTTTCATGAGGAAACATTTCCTTTTCATCATTATTCCATTGAAGAACCCATCAATCCATTTAATCTACATGTCACTCCTAAAACCCATTGATGTTGGAATCATAGATAATCACATCAGTTCATCACCCCATATGACTCCACTCATGGATGTATTTGTTGATAATTCTAGTACTCCACTAGATCATCCGACACTTTCAAATAAACCTTGAAGACATCATACTTGTCATAATTATCTTAGAGATTATCATTGTGCTCTTGCTCAGTGAAATACCCCATATCCGATGTCATTTCTTATTCAAAACTTTCTTCTTCACATAAAGCAAATGTTTATGATTTAGCCATTCAAACCGAGCCAAATAGTTACAAAGAAATTGTACACCATTTAGAGTGGCATGAAGCAATGGACGAAGAATTGAAAGCCTTACAGTTTAACAACATGTGAACCATTTTTTCATTACCACCGAATCGAAAAATATCTAGGAAACAAATGGGTTTTCAAAATAAAAATGAAAATTTGATGGATCAATAGAGTGTTATAAGGCGTGTTTGGTATCTAATGGCTTCAACCAACAAGAAGTTGTTGACTTCTTAGATAGATACTCTCATGTTGCAAAGATGGTTACTGTTAAAGTTTTACTTTCGATTGTTGCTCAATAAGGTTGGCCTTTATTTCTGTAACAGTTGAGAATTTTCTGTCATTAATGGTTACTAGGAGTTAGGTTCGACTCATAAATACAAAAACTTCCCATATTAAAGGATAATATGGAAAGTTGAGTCGAAAATAAAGTAATCAAAAAGTTAAACTGGTTAGCGTATTTTGAAAATATGCGACCTAATGATCCCAAAAATTAAAAGCATCGAGAAAATCTAACTCTAATTCGAAGAGTTATGATTTATGATAAATATAAACCAACCACATTAATAACGTTATTGACGTCAAAAATAGCAAAAAGAGAACAGTTGAGTTTCGGTTAACACTACAAAAAGGAAATTTGCAGTAAAGAATGAGATAAGAAGTTGGGACGAAAGAAGGGCAAAAACGAAAGTCATATGAAGGAGATACGATTTTTATAAAATATAAAAATATGGGTAAAAATGAAAGTTAAAATTAAAGATGCAACCTAAAGGAAAGTTGTAGTTCTAGGAAAGAGCTACACAAATATATAAAGAGGGTAAGAAACAAAGTTCATATGAAGAAAATATGAATTTTTAAAAAGAAATAAAGGGTGCGCGTTAATGTGTGTGCCATGCCAGTTCCACACATCTAACCCTAAATTCGTCGGGATTTGGAAACATGGAACACCAGAAGGGTGACACGTTGGAGATGGGCCACGAAGCACGTGCACGGTGTGCAGGAGAATGTCCGACACGCACCATCACTATAAATAGGGGTGCTTGCTTCCTAGTTTTTCATCTCATATTAACCACCAAACTCTCTATATATACTTCAATACCCTCTCAATGGTAAGAAACTTTGGTTGCAACAGTTCGGGCGCTCCCCGATACTTAAATAGACTGAGTTCATGACCCTTATTTTACTGTTTTAAAATGTTTCCAGGGGGAATACATACTTAACAAATGATTTTATAAAAAAAATCTTATAAATATTAAGTCATTTTATTATTAGCAAAATACTTTAGGATAGTATAACTTTTGATACTATGCCTAGATATAAGCTATGATTTGTGTCTAAAAGATATGATGTCCAATAATCTAGGAGTATGTAATACCTAGATGTTATAATGCCCAAATCCCTAGGAAACTTTAAGTACCTAGGAGTTATGCTAGACAAGATTTAAGATATGCAATGTACCTAGTTGTTACGCTACCTAAATATCTTGTTAAAATAACCATAATTGGTGTGTTTATATATATATATATATATATATATATATATATATATATATATATATATATATATATATATATTAGATAATTATGAGATCATAAATATAATTATCAAATACACATATATACGATAATAACTACACACACACACAAACACACACACACACACATACACACACACACACACACACACATATATATATATATATATATATATATATATATAGAGAGAGAGAGAGAGAGACACACACACACACAAAGATCATTTGATGATATATACCCTAAAGAGGTATATACAAAGATAGTGTGATGTGATGTGTGTGTGTGTGTGTATATATATATATATATATATACACACACATCACACTATCTTTGTATATACCTCTTCGGAGTATATATCCTCAAATGATCTTTGTGTGTTTATATACATATATATATATACACACACACACCTCTTCGGGGTATATATCATCAAATGAATGTAGCAAATAAACATCCTTCTCAGTTGTGAAACAATAGGCTCATAAGTCTTTTCATCTTTTGACAATCAAGAACAATGTAATCCAATCTTATGGATTCATGCATGGTAAGTCTTCCAAGCTGAATTCATATTCAGTATGACTTGCTCCTTGGAATCCTTTGAACTTTATGTTGACAAAGTTTTCATTCAGAACAGGAGCATAAACCTTCAAAGCAACAATCTTTTATGAACTCCAAGTCATGAATTGAGGCTTGGCATATTGAAGATATAAAGGGAAGAGAATATGATTAACATCATAGTTAGAAAACAGCGCATTCTCAATCTTATGAAAAAATCGAAACAGAAAAGCCCTAGGAGTGATTGGGAAATCAAGTTGAGAATCCACCACATTATTCAGATCAAAAGAAGCAGAAGGCTCCAGCCAGTGGATGTTAGGATCATTAATTGTTTCCCTCTGAATTCGTTCCATCATCTAAGGAGGAAAGAGAAACTTCTGAGTTTCAAGAGTGACTCTAGAAATATTGGCTTCCTTTTCTTTATATTCTAACTTTTTTTGAAGAATCAAAAGATCATCAAGTTCCTTATCATGCTTCTTTCTCACAAGCTTTTCGCCTTCAGAAAGCTCTTCTTTTTCTTCTTTAACCAAATTTTCTTTTCCATTACTTGATGTAGAAGCTTCATTAACCTTCTAAGCATCAGTTTTCGGTTTTTCTTGATGGTGTTCACCATTATTTTGCTTTGCCTGGGATTCTTCCTTGTGTTCTTTTATGACTTTGTCTCCCCTTGTTTCGAAAGAGCATCATTATTCGAAACACCCTCAATCTAATTTAGCACAAAAAAGACTGGTTTAAGCTTATCCTAAAGATATTACTGAACTGAGACTGCGAGTGGAGTCACGAGTCTCCACCATCCTGTGAAGATATTGATTAATCTCAGAAACATAGCTTTTAACAACTGTTCGCTTAGTTTCCAAATCATCCAGAAGCTTGTTGGTATATTACAGCTTTACCGATAGGACCTTGGCTTTCTCAGTCTTTTTAACCAATTATCCAAGAGATTATTCTTAGCTGCAAGGTCTTGATGAAGCTTTTCGATTTTGGAAACAACATATGAGTTTAATCAGTGTTGTCGAGTTTGATGTCGGAACAGAAACAAGAAAGTGCATCCTTCTCAGGGTGGAGAGTGGAACCCAGACCTGGAATAACGTTATTGATGGCTGTGGTACTTTCTTCAAAAGAGCTTTTGAATTCAGTCATGAATTTTCTCATTGCATCATGTAGTTTTTCAACTTTTTCGATTGTTTCTGATATATTTTTCTTTGAACCTTGAATTGCCTTGCTCGAGTCTTCAAGGACTTTTGTATTTTCCTTCCTTAGTATCTCAACAGTAGCTTAATGGGATTTCAACATGTACTCATAGTGAGATGAGGATTTGGAAGACTCAAGCAGAGAATCCAACTTCTCATTAAGCTGTTTAAATTAGCCTTGTGTAATCTGTGTGTCATCATCATCACTGGTTTTGTTGATGGTGAATGGGCTGAAAACAAAGTCTGCAAAAATTTGCTTGATCATCCCCAAAGAGAATATCCAGATCGGAGTCAAAGGTGGGAGAAGTTGTAGAGGTTACTAGTTTCTTTATCACACTAATGTTGGCATTTGCCCCCCGTATAAGATACATTGACATGAATGCAGAAAGTATGTACCTCCTCCGAAATGGATTTGGTGACAGTGACTTCTGGTGTACCTGTGATTTTGGAAGTAGCAGGAACAGTGAAATCGGTAAAGACAGGTGTAGAAAGTGGAATGGAGATCTGTGGATGAGAAACACCCACAAAAATCTTTGGTGGTAGTGGAGAAATGGAAGTAGTTAGAATGGTATAGGTGATTGTAGATGATGGTGGAGTAGATAACCTTCAGAATTGTTGAGTTGGAGTTGGTTCCAAAGTTGTTGATGTGCATTCTACTTCATTCCAAATAGTAGCATCATCCTGAATATCAGTATGAGTTCTGGATTCCGAAGCCTCCTGAACCACCAGAGATGGTGATCTTGGTTTCCTTTCATGCTTTTTAACCTTCTTCGAAGTTTTTACCACTTCAGAAGGAGCAACTTTCTCTTTTCTATTCCCCCCCCCCCTCTTTGATTTGTTTGCTTCCTCTATTGATTTACGAAGTTCATCTGACATGGGGCGAACACTAGATGTCGAATACTTGTAATACTCATTCACAATCACATAATCAAAAGGGATTTTTCCCAACATTGCTTCCAGATTAGATCCCACAAAAGCGAACTTGGTTGGGTCATACATCATAAAAGTTGAAGTTTGAAGAATCAGAATAGCAACTACGATTGAATAAGGAACCAATGGAACCTTGTAATGAGTTAGGGCACGTTTGACTAGGCTAGACCAAAATCGAGCACACGAGAGCTCCATATTACGAGTGGTGCAAGCAGTACTCTGAATAAGCTATGTCCACAAAATCGAACCATAGTCAAGATTGATGTCATGGTATAGACTATAGATAATGGTGTAGAATAGCTTACTTGCATTGTCAAATCCAGCAACACATTCAGAAAAACTCTTGAACAAAAAAGTAAAGAGCCTGTTCCACACAGGAGGAAGAAAGGGCTTCCTAGACTTTGACAAAAGAGATATGTCTCTAATATATCCTATCTGGTGAAACATCTCGATGAGTGCATTATTAGAGGCTGATTCTAGATCAACGAGTCCTTCAAATGAAGCAAGCCCTAGAATTTTGCAAAAATGGGCTTTGTTGATCGAGGTCCTGTTAATGGCAACCTTGAAAGTAATGATTCCATTAGCTTGAATCTAGGTGGCAGAAGAATACGCCTTAGAAAGATGAATTAGAGGAACCGATTCTACCATGGTTAGAGCTTAAGCTAGTGCCAAGAACCTTAAACATTCAATCATTAACCTTAGGATTTCATGGTAGCGAGAAGACTCCATATCAAGAATGAGATTTTGACTTGGCTTAATGTTCAATATAACGATAGAGGTGGATTGATCAACGAATGAAGTGGTTTCTAAGGATCCTGCCATTGAAGCTTCGAGGATGATAATGAAAAGTATAGAGAAAAGGGTTTTCACTTTGAAAATCATATGAGCCATGAGAAAAAACAAACCATCGAAGACCCTTATATATGTCATGTGATGAGTGGTGAAAGAAAACCGCCGATTGACGTTCCATTATCCCATAAAAGTAGCCTAGGATGGCGTGATAGCTCTTCATGTGTCAAAGCCATGTAACTGACATGTGTGATGTTAGGGATTTGAAAAGAACGCACCTGATTTGAATCCTTATCCCCAATAAATCCACCATTTTAGTTTCAATTCATTCAGAATTAACACCCAATCCATGAAGACCTATTCTCTGAGTTTAAAGCAATCATTCAGAATTAGAACCAGACTTTGAAAAATCATAATGATTTTTGTGCAAGAGTGTGCCAAAAGAAAAAGAAATAAATCAAATTATATTTATAGGATTCTGTGATGTCAAATAAAATTAACATGAAATCAGATGAATCCCGTGTAACGATCTCTTCCTTTTGAGTCAAGAGAGACTCTGAAGTGCTTGTGTGGTATCCTATTGAATTACAATCATCTACTTAAGAAATAATGAAAGGATACTTTTAGTTACGCTGCAAGGGTGGATTAAGCTTCAACGAAATTCTGAGACTTGACATAAGTCCGAAAATCTGAGAGAGGTACTTGTTTGACCAGTGTAGCCATAAGAATATGTATGCTTTGGAAATTATTTAAGTGGCATGATAATAAGGAAATCTCAAAAAAAAAAAAAAAAAAAAAAACTAGGCCTCATGGGAAGAAATGTTTTGGGTTGAGAACATTTCATTAAGATCACTAAAAAATAAAAATAAAAAAGAGATTTCACACAATAAGGGTACAAACCAAAAAGCTTTTATTCATTAATTCCTTGGTGAAAAGATCTAGAACATGTAATTATTCACCGTCAATTTAGAAATGAGTTTTGGATTTTGGTTTTCACTTAAAATCATGGTGATAACAACTTCAAGATCATCAACACAAAGTTGTGTATCCATAAACCTCAGTGCTAATTGTTGAGAGTCTCAAGGGTTACATTTATGAATGCAAAGTTGATGGAGAAATTTGAGATTGGTTCTGAAGGAGAAAGTGTACCTCTGCTAAAGATTGATGACAAAGCAGTCAACTCTTAACTCAATGTGAGACGATTAAGGTAGCTTGATGACTTATGTGAATTATCATCCTGATTGGGAAGAAACAAATGGAATGAAAGTTTCATTAAAGCTTCAAACATAGAGTTTTAGAGGCGTGGGACAACATGCTTCTAGGGACACTTAGCTAGTACACAGATTTGAAATTATATCTGCCCCATCGTAATGAATTGAGATAATGAATAATATGTACCTTGGAAGTGAATGATTATATCTTAAAAGAAAAATATTTTTGGTATTTGAGATTTTATGAAAAGATTGCTATTTTTGGTTTTTCTTAAAAAAGTAAATATTCTTGTGATTTTGGATTTTTTGAAAACAAATGAAAAACAAAAAGTAAATAAAATTATTAAAGAAAATAAATTTAGAAGCACAAATGAAAAGTAATTTTTGAACCATTCCAAAGCTTGAAATCAATTGGAAGATACTTAATATACAAAGGATACAAAAGACTTCTGAAATCCTGATGAACAGTGGATTTCGAGCTATTCCAAATCTCGGAATGACTCAAAATTTTTAAAATGAATTCCAAGATCGGAACGATTCGGAATATGAACAATAATTTCTGATTACGAAAGGGTTTTCAGATCTGAGTCCGCTTCGATCATGCCTAGCCCTTGTAAAATTCAATTAAAAGTCATTTCAGGTATGGCCTTAGTGAAAATATTAGCCAGTTGATCAGAGGATCTCACAAAGTGTATTTCAACATTTCCATCCTATACATGTTCCTTTATAAAATGATATCTCAGTGCAATATGTTTCGTTTTGTAGTGTTGCACTGGATTATGGCAGATTCTGATTGCACTTTCTGAATCACAATATAATGGAATTCTTTTCATGTTGATCCCATAGTCCCTAAGTTGATTCTAAATCCACACTACTTGGGAAGTGCACGATGCAGCTGCAATGTATTCAGCTTCTGTAGTGGACAAAGAGACACAAGTCTTCTTCTTGTATTGCCAATTTACAAGTTTGTTGTCTAGAAACTGACATCCCCCACATGTGCTTTTACGATCAAGTTTACATCCACTAATTAACATTGGAAAATTATTGCACAAAGAATCCAGAATTAGAAGGATACCAAGTTATGAGAGAGGTGGTTCTTTTGAGATATCGAAAAATGTTCTTTATAGCAATCATATGTGGTTCACGGGGATTCACCTAAAACCTGGCACAATAGCATACAACAAACATAATATCAGGATGACTTGATGTTAGATACATTAAAGATCCAATCATCAGGCGATATGGAGTGATACGAGCTGCTAGCTTGTCCAAGGATGGTGTAAGCTTTGCTTCGAACGTCATTGGAACTTTGACCTTTGAATCACCCACCATTCCAAATTTCGCTAGCAAGGTCTTCGTGTAGGCTTCTTAGTTGATAAATATGCCCTCGGAACTCTGTCTAATGTTTAAACCAAGGAAAAAGTTAATTGGACCCATTGAGCTCATTTCAAATTAAGTTTCCATCAGTTTTTTGGAATTCACCAGTTAATATAGGATTAGTGGATCTGAAAATGATGTCATCAACAAAAATTTGAACGATCATTAAATGGTCAGCATCTTTCTTGCGAAAGAAGGTTGGGTCAACCGAACCTTGTTTAAATTTTGATTGTTTCAGAAAATGAGTAAGGGTTTCATACCATGCACGAGGTGCTTGTTTCAGACCATACATAGCCTTATCCAATATATAACAATGATTTGTATGTTTCTCATTAACAAAACTTGGTGGTTGTTCCATGTAGACCGTTTCCTCGAGTTCACTGTTCAGAAATGCAGACTTCACATTCATTTGAAAAACTTCAAAGTTTTTGTGAGCTGCATATGCAAGAAAGATCTGAATAGATTCAAGTCTTGAAACTAGTACGAACGTCTCTTCGTAGTCTATACCTTCCTATTTGCAGTATCCTTACACAACCATCTGTGCCTTGTTTCGAATCACATTCCCTTCCTTATCTAATTAATTTCGAAACACCCATTTCATTTCGAAGATAGAGGCATCCTTCAAAGTAGGGACTAGTCTCCAAACTTTGTTTCTCTAAATTTCATTGAGTTCTTCCAGCATATCTTGAACCCCATCTATATGATCAAGAGCAATTTTGACAGTTTTAGGCTCAATTGTAGAGATGAACGAATTAAACATGCAAAATTCCATTTTTGAAAATAATGTAGTTTCTTTCGTTTTTTTTGTGCCCTTGTAAGAACTCTTGAAGATGATTCTTTAATCACTTTAGATTTTTGATGGTTTTTAGTCCATTTTGTCATAGGAGGATGACGTAGATCGTAGGTTGGATCGACTTTGGAAAAAACTTCCTCATATTCCAATTGCACATCATAATCATTGTTTTCATTCCCCCTAGAAGTTTGCATTTGACCCATTGTGTGGAATTGGATCCTCCCCCTTGAAATAAGCATCGGTATTAGGACTCGAAGATGAGCTCTTCCCGTAGAATGAAGCATCAGAAGGTTGTAGTTTAGATGGAAATTTAGAAGCATTCGAAATTGGTGACTCGTGAGAAGTCTTGATATTTTCTGTAGCTTCATCAACTATCTTCTTTAGTTCATCCTCTTGATTTTCTTTTGGCTTAGATTCAAAAGAGATGGCTTTTTCAGGTTCGTCAAACAGATTTAGAAATTCTTCATATAGATTTGAGAGAGGAATAGTCATCGGATTCATTGATGTAAAGATGTCCTCATATTGACAATTTGTTTTCTGATACTTGAAATAATTATCATCAAAGGAGACATAATAGGTTTCTTCAATCTTTCTTGACTTCTTGTTCGTAATTCTATATGCTTTCGAAGTTAACAAATAACCCAGAAAAATGCCTTCATCAACTTTCGCATCGAATTTGTTCCTTTGTTCTTTAGAATTAAATATAAAACACCCAGAACCAAACACATGAAAGAATTTTACGTTAGGTTTTCTATTCTTCAGAATCACATAAGGTGTAATTAATTATCTTTTGTTGATGAATGATCGTTTTTGCATGAAACCAGCAGTTGCAATAGCATCATCTTAGAAGTATATAGGAAGATTGACAAATGATAACATTGTCCTTGCAGCTTCGAAAAGAGAGCGGTTTCATCTTTCAATGACACTGTTTTGTAGTGGGGTGTAAGGACCAAAGAAGTTATGAGCAATCCCTTTGTCAGTTAAGAATTCTTCAACGATTGGTTCTTGAATTCCAAACCGTTGTCACTGCGAACTTTCCGAACATGTTTTTGTAATTGATGCTCGATCTGCTTGATGAAATCTTTTAGCTTTTGAATGGCATCTGATTTTGATGTATGAAAGAACACCCAGGTAAATCGAGAAAAATCATCAACAACAATCAAGATATATTTATTACCACCAATACTTTCGATGGGTGATGGACCACACAAACCAATATGCATTAATTCTAGTTGCTCAATAATCTTAGTTTTGATGCTGGTTAAGTGACTCTTCTTACTTTTCTTTCTAAGCTCACAAGCAGCACACCGATGTTCCTAATGTCAGTAATAGACCACTACCAAGTATGTCTGATGTTTTATTTCCGGATAAGGTGAGTCTGGGAGAAAAATACCTCGTGGTGTCAAACCACTGCTAGGCAAAGTTTGATGTTGTATTGTCGGATAGGGTTAGTCTAGGGGTAAAATACCTCACTTTGTCAGATAACTGTTAGGCATAGTTATCTAGATAGCCATCCCTTTCTTAATTGTCTTTTTGTTTTACGAATGGAGGTTCATGGTGAAAATTATTCCATTCCCCTCATTTGATGTAGTTATTGATCCTCGTTTGTTGCCAGGGAATTTCTAAAGTAGCGTCATCAGTTTTTTGTTCATATTGATCCTTTAGGCTAGATCTTGTAAGATCATTGTATAGGATCTATACGTGGAATCGAT